CCCCAAAACCCCAAAACCCCAAAACCCCTTCAACTTAGAAAATATGGATGGGATTATTTATTATAAATGAACAGGTGATTTATGAAGAGAGTTGTGAAGAGAGTGAGTGGACAGAGGACGTGGAATAGGAGTGATAGGAGGTTTGTGATGGGAATGGGTGGAGGTAGTGGTAGGATGAAAATGCTGTTTAGACCAAGATTTAGGCATTTTTGGGGAGATGCTCAGAAGAGTGGATGTGAGTTGCAGAAATTTGATAGGGGTAAATTTATATGAGAGATGGGAGAAAGCACTGGGTTCGACTGGGATGAGTATTTCAGGTCTCTTGCTGAATTAAAATTTGATCAAACTGTACTTAATCCTCAAGAATTCACTGATACAGCAATATGAGCATTATTTTCAGTTATTGAACACTCAAGTGTAGCTTTATGTGAAGTTGGGGAGAGAAATAATGTTGTTTCTCTCTTAACATCAACTCATAAAGACACTTTACTCTACTTATTAACACAGTTGGATAAAACATACAGATATTCTTCGGATCACCATTATAAGCTATTCTGCACCCTTGGATATCTTTTGCCATACATAGAGTGAAAGAAGAGCCAAGAAAAAGCTTTGAAGATGTTCAATAAATGCAAATAAAGCATTAAGCATTCCAAAGGGATCAGAATTCATTAAAGGTAAGTTCTAAGGCTTTGACATTATCTTCGAGATTATTGGCATAAATTAGCAATCTTGAACCAATTTGTTAACTATTTTTGTTTGAACTTTTTATAGAATCTGTCAACTTGAAATCAATTTCAAAGTTCTTTCTCAAAGATCTCTACTTCCAGCCGTTGGCTGGAAGAGATCTGATCTTTCCATCCAAAAGGGTTGGAGATATGCTTGACTGAGTAGGAATGTTTGTTGAAGGAAATATCGACCCAATCATCAATGAAATTTTCGAAAATTTCTCTGAATTACAAAAGGCGTCTCCTGAAGTATTGATCAGAGTAATATCCAGATGAAGTCTGGCGGGGGAAACCCCTACAGCTTCTCAGGAGCATCTAGGATTACTCCTTGCGTACTTAGTTCCAGCCTTGTGTAATCAGTTGTACTGATACAGAGGATTATCTGGTTCATACTTATCAGCATGTCTCAGGCCTTCGGTGAAACTCCAGCATCTTCTCACACAAGCTGTGGGAGAAGAAGAAGCAGCGATGATGCTTGAGAGATTAAGGAGAGAAGTCATAGAGCATTGTAAAAGACTTGGCTTAGATCAAAAAGACGCTAGAATTTGGAAGATACTGATAGAGGAAGGAGAATCAGAGATTGATGAATGTGATAAGAAGATGGAGACTTTGAGTATGATTGAAACTATTGAAGGAATGGAGCAAAGCTGAGCTGAGGTTTTAAAAGAGGCTATTTTGTTTTTGGAGGATTTAGAGGGTTTAGATGGCCCTGAAATAAATGATGATGTCAACCTTATTATGAAATTTTTATGGAATATGAAAAGATTGGGCTATGACAATGAGGATTTAGATCATGTAATTGAGAAAATTCTAAATAAATTTATCAGCCAATCAAAACTTGACCTTATGAACCGCAAATACATTTATTCAGGAGGATTTATGGATGATATGTTTGGAGAAAATTTTGATATTCAATCAAAAGCATCTGATATCTTCTCGACCATCAAATCTAATCCTCCAACTCAATCAAGTTTACTTTCAATGATAAAATCAACAAAATTAGATCTCTCTTCAGCCCCTTCTCCTTCTGAATATCTTTCAAGCACCAAAGAGAAGTTATCCTCTCTCTCATTCTTATTTTCAAAGACCTCAGAAGAAGATACAACTTCCCCTCCGATCCTCAAATTCCATATCTACGCTTCCCTCCTCACCCACCCACTGCCCACCTCCCTTCTTCTCTTCTGCTGAAAATCCCTCACAAAGCCCTTCATCCTCCAGAACCCTTCCTTATTCTGCACCTTCATCACCCACCTCCACTCAAGAGCTCCTCTTGGCTGTCCTGCCTGCCCCTGCAGGGGCAGGGGAGAAGCCACCGACTTGTGTTGAGGGAAATTGGAGGAGAAGTTGTACAGAAGGATGGAGGAAGTGCAGGCTTCACCTTATGAGATTGTAGAGCCGGTTGTTATTGAGGTGTGGAGAAATGGGGTGTTCACAGGTAAGTGGATGGATTTTAGGGTTTTAGATGAATTTAGACATTTTTACAGACAGAAGGTGTATAGGGATTAAGTGAAGAAATATAGGAGTGATTTTGATGTTATGGGGAGTTAATGCAGGTTTTCGCAGAGTTTGAAAATTTCAATTTTGAGTTGAATTTTGGGGTTTTGGGGTTTTGGGGTTTTGGGGTGTTGGGGTTTTGGGGG